GCGTGCGGGGGCTGGAGGGAGGCGTGCGGGGGGCTGCGTTTCCTCAGGAAGCTCAGTCCTCATGGACCAGCCACGGAGTTCCCCACACAGATGGGACGTTTCCGTCCCCCAGGGCCCTGCCCTTGCCAATGGGCACATCAACTCCTGGGGCTCTGGGCGGAGGATTCCCAAAGAGTCCCCTGGGCGTGGCCGGGCAGGGCTGGGGGGCTCAGCCTGGGCGAGGGTTGGGGCCTGGTGGTCCAGGTTGGGGAGGGGGGTTAGCATTCAGCATTCGGGGGGCTGACTACGTGAAGGAGGCCCCAGATTCAGCACTGTGGTCCCCCAAAGTCAGCGGGGGGCTGGGAGGCACCAGGCCTCTCCAGTTAATGGTGATGGGGTGCTGTGTGGGGACCTGCACCCTTCCTGCCCCCCATGCATACAAGGGGACCGAGGACAGGTCCCCAGTGAGTGAGGCCCCGCGATTCCCTGGCAAACCAAACGCTCTTTCCCCGAAGAGCCCGCGGGCGGCCACGAGGGTCTGTTCGCATAGGGGCCGGGGAGCGCCCAGAGCCACCCGCCAGCCCTCTGCCTGGTGAGGAGGGCCGGGAGGGGACCTGGTGGGTGACAGATGCCCCAGGCCTTCCTGCTCTGCTCCCCCCCTCCCCCTCGAGGAGCCCTGTCCGAATGGGTGTCCTGGGGGGAGATTTGGAGACCGACAGGCTGAGTTAAATCGCAGGCAGGAAATTCCGTTTCCAGACCTTGATCCCCTCCTTCTCTCCTGACCCATGGCATCCGAAGTGCATTTCAGGGTGCGAGGCCCGCCCCGCCCTGTGTCCCCGCCCCTCCCTGAACCTCACACTGAACCCTGAGCACCAGTCCACGCGGGGCGTGTAGCGGAGACCCCGGGCTGCAGCCTCGCCGCTGCCTGGGCGCTGGGCTGTCCGTGGAGTGCCTGGCACTCACCCTCTCCGCTTCCCGAGGAGATGCTGTGAGCCGGGCCGTGGAGAGGCGGCACCGTGACCCCGTGACCCCGAGAGACATTTGTGATGGTCCAGAGAAGGGGTCCCTTCCCGGGGAGGGAGGGGTGCTGCTGTCTCCATCCGGTAGGTGGCGCTGAGCTGCTATGTGGGAAGCCCTGGGCAGAGCCCCGGCCCCGGAGTGCCCCTCCCCAATGGAGAGAGACCCAGGTAGGCGGGGTGGGGAGGCCCCCCCAACCCCCAGACGGACCGAGGGCCTCACAGGGTGCCTCCTGGAAGAGCCCAAGGGGTGTCCACACCCCACCGTGGGGACAGAGGGCTTCGCTCTGACACCTGCAGGTGTGGAGTCCGGGCACGGTGCTGGGTGCCTGCTGCACGGACCACGTCCCGGAGCCCGTCTGTCCCGTTTTCATCCGTTTCACCAGCAACTGGCCCACTTCTTTGTTCTTTGTTGTTGTTAATCCTCGGATATTTCCCATCGATTCTTAGAGAGAGTGGAAGGGAGAGGGAGAGGGAGAGGGAGAGGTACGTAGATGTGAGAGAGAGAGACACACCCATCAGTTGCCTCCTGCAAGTGCCCCGACAGGAGCCAGGGATCGAGCCTGCAACCGAGGTACGTGCCCTTGACCAGGAATTGAACCCAGGACCCTTCAGTCTGCAGGCTGATGCTCCATCCACTGAGCCACACTGGCTTAGGAGCCCAACTGCCCTGCCTCAGTGGGCAGCAAGGTTCACCTCCCAGGGGCACCAACCCCTCCCGACCAGGGTTTCCCACACAGGGACCCAGAGGGGCTATGAGGACCTGGCTGTAGGCTCTGGCCCTCAGGTGGGGTCCCCACTCCCCACGGGGGGGCAGCCACTCTGTGAGGTGCCCCCATGTCCCTGGGTGACTTGTGGGGCCTCTCCCAGGGCTTGCTAGGCAGAGACCCCAAATAACAAAGGGTCCCCGCCCCCTCAGTGTCTACCCTTGCGGTGACCTCTGGACACCCCGTGAGCCGGAGACACCCGCTGCCCCGCCGGCTCCTCGGGAAGCGAGAGTCCCCGCTGGGCCAGCCTCCTGTCTGTCCTCCTGTCTCCGCTGCAGCAGGAACTCAGCCAGGCCCCGAGGGCAGAGGGAGCACGTGCTGGGCCAGTGAGGAGCCCCAGATGGCCTGGCCCCCGCTGTCTGCCAGAGCCCCCCTCCTCCCCCCCGGAAATCATCCTGAAATTGTAATCCTGGGTCCTGTCTGCCTGAGACTGCTCAGCAGGGGGACGGGCTCTCCGGGGGACAGGGAGTGGAGGGTGAGCTGTGGGGGCTGTGACTGCAGGAGGGAGAGAGGGAGGCAGGAAGGGAGGGAGGGATGGAGGCAGGGAGGGAGGGATGGAGGGAGGGAGAGAGGGAGGGAGGGAGGGAAGGAACAATGCCCCACCGGGGCCTCCCTGGCGGGTGATCTCAGGTAGCTCGGCCAACAAAGCTCCCATCAGGCCATTTGCGAGGCCTCGTTGCGGCCTCTGCAGCGTGGACTGTGGATTCGTGTCAGACGGTCTGTTGTGCCCCTGGACCGCGTGGGGCCCTCTCTGTGACCTTCACTCGGTGGGGCTGCAGCGCGCTGGGCAGAGCACCCGGAGCCGGGCGCTGCGGCTTGAAAGCCATGGGGTCCCTGGGCCCCTGCCACGGCCTCACCTCACATGCTTGACCCTCTGTGTCTGGGACACAGACCTGGGACTGATTCTGGTGGAAGGGGCCGGGCTAAGACCTCGCTCTCGTGTTGCAAACCGCCCCTCAGAGGAGGTGAAGCATGAAATGACCAAGTCCAGCCCGGCCCGCGTGGCTCCGTGGCTCCGTGGTGGAGCGTCGCCTAGGAACCAGGAGGTCACAGTTCAATTCCCGGTCGGGCACATGCCGGGTTTTGGGCTCCATCCCCAGTTGCGGGAGGGGGCGGGGGGGTGCAGGAGGTGACTAATCGAGCGCCTGTCCCTTGGCCAGGGCCCTGGTGGAAGGTGCCGTCAGCATGACCATCACGCCGGACGCGCGTTTCGAGTACCTGGAGGGCATCGCCGCCCTGCTCCTCCGGTTCAAGCCCGACAAGTGGGGCAAGCTGCTGGGCGCCGAGGAGAGCCTGGCGCTGTTCACCGAGTTCTTCGACAAGCCCGACGTGCTGGTGCTGGTGCTGACGCTCAACACGGCCGGCATGATCGTGCCCTGCCTGGGCTTCCCCGCCGCCCTGAAGACCAAGGGCGTCTATTTCATCAAGAAGAAGCCGGAGAACATCAGCAAGACCAACATCAAGGGGTCGCTCATCTACGGGGACATCTGGCCCAGCCGCCCCGCGGGTGGAGGTGGAGACGTCACATCCGGGCCTTTCCTCGGCAGGAGCAGAGGGCTGTCCTCTGCTCCACCGCCAGTCACTCAGGTCCCCAGAAGGTTCTAGAAGCCCCAGAGCCGAGGGGACCTGGGGTTCTGTGGCAGTTGGAGCCGTTTGAGGGAAGGAAGCCATTCCCTTTGCTGCTGGTTCGAGGAGGAGTGCCGGTCAGTGTGCCCTGCTGGCCCCCGGGCAGCGTTTGCCGTCAGCTGATGAGGGGCCCTCGGCCGGGGAGGGGGGACTCAGACCCTGGAGAACGGGGATCGGTCACCCGCCCAAAAGCGGCTCTGCTCCTGCTCA